TTCTAAGGTTCTATATATCAGGGTTAAGAATTAAGTTCAAGTCACTAACATTTTTCATTTACCAGATGGTAACCTTCCAGATGCTTAATAGATTTAAGACTTGTCCCATTTACATTCAACCCCTGGCCACAGCCATCCATCCATCCATAAATATCTACCTTGGCATCTCAGACTGTCTCGGTTACCTTTAAACCAGATGTGGTAAGAGCTATGTTTAACATGGCAAATATATGCTTGTCCCCAATGCTGTCTGATTTCTTGCTTACGTTTGGGTATACAATTACTATTCAAAAGAGCTACTTTCTAGCCTGATGTTCCACGAATAAAATCATTTTTATCCACTGTAAGTCTTAATCAGGTTGAGGTGCACGGTGCCAGAGAATTGGAAATGAGCCAAAAGAAACTATCCCATGATGCTGCAGGACCTAGTCTTCCCATTGGTTGATTGATAGCAAATGCAAATCAGCTGTCATTAGCTTCAACCCTGACAGCCATAATGTGCAAAGTGATGAACTGAACATGACCAGAAAGCATATACAGGCAATAGATACCCTGTCTGCACATTTCGCATAGGGGATGTCAAGTTAAACAATTGATATGTTGACTAGCTACACAGGTTTAGTGACTGGCCACCTGGCCTGGATATACCTCTGATCTAATTTGCATGATAATGACTAAAAGTGACAAAGGGGGGACTTTTTGTTCTGCCATGTCCACGAAACAGAAGGGTGGAAGGATACAGGAGAGTAGGTGGTTGTTAGGGGAGGGGGCCCACAGGGGGCTGGACTGCCCTGCAATCAATACACATTCAAACTAACCAATCACAGGTTTACATGTCACATGAGACCTCAAACAACAAGAAAGATCAAATTATCCTTGGCCGTTAAGCTGGGCACATGGTTGGCTAGACTATTATCTATAATCAAACACACCTCGCACAATGTGCAACAGACTGGAAACCCTGCGCTGGAAATTTAATAACCAAGCCAGACTGTTATGCAAATAAGGTATCCAGCAGCCATAAATCAACAATGCATGACAAATATGCAAATCAGTCAAGCTTGGTGTGTTAGTAACAATGAACATTTCAAAAAGGCTTTGTTGACTTTTTATCCTGTTGCAGCACATATCTCTTTTGTATTTACATACCCTAACAGTATATGCAAACTACTTCATCATTATAGTCTAAAAGTATACATGAAATCACTATTGTTTCCAAGAACAACTGACCTTGGTTTATCTTCAGCAAACATAGCAGCTCCCAGGATAACCTGTTCTAACAATTAGATTATTTAAAATTCTACTAATTACATAATTTGAAATCAGAAAATAAGCCGGTGCATATCTGGGAATTTTTATCCAGTATGACATAATTACTGACCGAGGTAAACAAAAATTTACAAGAACTTTCTCAGGCATTAATTACAGTAACGTTATTGTGATTAAGTGTTGAATGTATCGTTTAGGATCTGTGCTATCAAGGTAACAAGTTGTGGTTTACAATACTGTTTCATTTTAGCAACGTTAACCTTCTTGATTTCAGAAATGAATCCCTTGTCATTAACAGTAGCTTCACCCAGCTGAAATAGCCGTTTGTCACCAAATTTGTACTGGTTACATGGCCAGACAGTGGGGAGATGGTTAACACTATCCCTGTCAACATACCAGGTAACCAGGTCTAATGTTGGATAAACCATGATAAGGTCAAGAAGATTACGTATTCTCCTCCTACAATATAACCCATGGTCAGCTATGTCTACACATTAACATGAATGATGGCTGACCAATATGGTAGCCCATAATGCAATGTTCTCCAAGGTCACCTTCATGCAGAACAACATATTGGCCTGTCTGGACACATGGCATAGAGGCTCGAGATCCATTCTATCATATTATTACCTGTCAAAGCCATAGGTACGCAATCAGGACATGAAACATGGCAGACTATTAGCTGGAAACCTGATAAATATCAACATATTCAATAT